CGACTTTGGAGAGCAAAAACCTGTTCGAAGAGCGGCTAAGATATTTATATATATATTATATATATAAATATCGCACCAACCAAAGCAAGTCAAAAAGGGTTCGGAATTGAACCATGTGGCCGTGCAAGAAGCAGACTCAACCGCGATTGCGGTTTGGCTGTGGGCAGCAGGGTGTTGTTTGCTTGCAGTTGCAGGAGCTGGAGCGAATGCTGCAAGAAGATCCGAGATTAGCAGCCATGTGGCAGAAAGAGCCTGCTGCTGTGAAAGGCTGATCATGAGATATCCTGAGAAGGAAGAGGAGGAGTCTTAATTCTTTTCGGGGATTTCCTAAGTCTTTGTGAGCAGGCCCCCAGCTAGGCACCAGAATCTGCAAAACACTGGGAAGTCTCCCCTCATCCAAATGTGGAAAAGGTTTTGGGCTTTGCTAAATGGCAGCCCAAATACTCATGCACGCAAATGGGTTTCACCAATGACTTTGAACCAAATTACTCCAAACACATGCATCCACATATCAATTATATATAATTATGTGTATAATTATGTATATAATTAATGTATATACATATGTATATATATATACATACACTAATGAATATTTAGCATGCACCCACACTGGGTACGGCTGAGCTTGCTTCGTAGTTCGTGCTTCTAAACTTGACTGGCCCAAGAAATTCTTGATAGATTTGAACTTGTCCTTGTGTGATTTCTCTTTCAAGCTGCTGCAGCCATGGGTGGGTTCGTTTCTCAGAACCTTGTGTATGACTGCACAATTTCTTTTCACGCTTGGTTCATATCAGATGCCGGATCACACAGTGTCTTGAGACCTGATTGCTTTTCGATTGGATAGGTATTCGTTCTGGCCGCGAGGGCTTTTCTGGTCTTTTCTCTTGGTGTGGTGCTTGGGTCATACAATGCCGGCGTCGTTGGGGCGCACAATTGTCCTTCAGGGCTTCCGAATTCATTGTACAGGTGGTTGGCCTTCGCTCTGTGCTGGCACGGTCCTTGTGCAGGTGCCATGTGGCTCATGGGTTTGCGCAGGCTGTGGGCAACCTGCTGGCAATCCTCCATGCGGGTGGTGGTGGAGCAACTTCGGCTGCAAGCCCTGAAAAATCGGTGGCTGCAGCCGGAGCGGGTAATATTCGTTGAGGTGTGGAGAGGTCGGGATGCCACAGGCAAACCCACTCCAGTCCTGACCTCCGTTGTTTATGGCTTCGCTGGTCATAGGTCGGGGGGACGTGAGCCACCTCCAGTGAATTGCACAAAGGGATCGACGTTGAGGTGCACCCCGGAGGGCTGTACTTCTTTACTTTGTGTCATTGGAGTCGGCAGTCGTTTCTGGCGAATGCTTTGGTTCCTTAGGTGTGGGTGGGCTCGGATCGGCTCTCGGGTTGGGTTTGGGCGATGCCCGGCGTGTCCTTGGGAGCGCAATGCCGATCGGTGCCGGTGTAGGGCGGAATCGTGGATCTTATTCGGCATTCCTGTGGCTTCTCATGATCCTAAATGTCGGGTATAGGGCCTTGGTCGGTCTAAGTCCCGAGGTTGATGGTAGGGCGCATTTCTTCCTTATACACGGGATGTACGAATTTTGGCGTTTGCTTGCAATCCCGGCGGATTTCTGTTTGGTATTGCTGAAGGACCGGCCTCCCTAGAAAGAATTGTTATATAGATTCGGAGCGGGTTGTGCTTTTCGGTATATTTAGTTATCAATTCACCCTGGCCCTGGTTGACAGAATATATACGGAATATATTTAGTATTCATATACATATGTTTTGTACGTTTTGTAGATATTAATTCGGATGATTATTCTTGTTTTTTTTTCAAGGGAAATTAATATGTTAGATTATTTAAGAAATTGAATGTAATTATTAATTATGTATTCTATATTTATTGGATTTGTTTATTTTTGAATTTATTGTATTTGTTTATTTTTGTAAGAATTATATAATATATCACAGATAATAAATCATTATATCGATTTATGATAGATTTGATATATATATATATTTGTATTCTCGATTTATTCTTGATATTTATTTTAATTAGATTTTTATTATAGATGATATTGTCGTTATTAATATTCGATATATTCATAAATATTTATATATATTTACGTAATTGGATATAAGAAATAAATTATTGGATAGATTAATTTAGGTAATGATCGAAACACTTATATTTTTTTATTTCTTTAATGTTGAAATATATATATATATAAATTATTTAAAAAAAACACATATATATTCATATATATATAATTTTTTTTAAAAAAATATATTTATCGTAATATTAAATTATATATTTCGTATAATTTATATAAATTCATTTTAAAAAAATATATAATTTGAAAAAAAAAAAAAATATTATAAAATTAATTAGAAATCCTAAAAAATATCCTAAATAGATTAATAATATATACCTATATAGAATTCTATTTAAAAAAATGATAAAATTAATTCCAAATCTTGTAATTATTCAAATCCATTATCTTTTTTATATGTGCGGTTGCACATTCACTCGCGTATTTTTATGGTAGCAGAACCGACTCGGGGGGCTCAATAAGTATACCCCGGAAGAAGAGAAAGATCCAGATTTTGAAGGAAATTTAAAACGATATATGAAGAAGAATGACGAAGGATTCGCCGCAGCAAGCAAGGTGGTGAGATCTCCTGAAATTCTTGACCCAAGAAATATGGAGGAGGAATTGTTCCATTGGCAGGATTGGCGATTATTTTGAGAGCTGGATCACGTTTGTTGAAGAAGCCTACAACAAGGAGCTCGATACGATAGAAGTCTCTGAAATTGAGGTGAAGCTCGCCAGCATGACCATTGAGGAGAAAGGAAGAGCAGAGAAATTCTATGCCATTTTGGTTGGGCATCTACGGAATAGGCCCCTGAAGCTGTTATGGGTTGTCGAGGGTCGCAATGGTTATGAAGTTTGGAGGCAGCTTAGCCTCCAATTGGCTCCAAAGACGAGATCGAGGTCCATCGCTTTGCTGCAAGCCTTCTTGAATCACCCCAATTTCACGAAGGATGCTGGAACAGCTGCTTGGTCTAGAAAGGTTGGCTGAAGAATATCACGAAAGGTAGCCCTTTAGGGGATACTTTGAGTTTGTCTTGCGAAGCAAATATTGGCGCGTCCGGGTCTAATAATTGATCATTCAATTCAACCCCCCCCCCTCGAATTGATTTCTTAATACAGACCCCCCCCCTGAAATGTAGAGGCCTACTTGTACAGGTTCTACTCCAGTGGCCTATCTAGTGTGTCCATGCTTGACTGCCATAAGGCTCAAGAAGGGATATAGGATAAGACTCTGCGTGAGCAAAAGACACTAGCGGTCTGCACCTCTACCGTGTACGCCCTAGTCACTCTTTCAGTGGTAGCGGAGCTGTGATCCTGGAAGGCCCAGGTGAGCTCCTTTCCTAGGCATAGAATTGCTTGTGGGCAAACGGCCATGGATTGGATTGACGACTGGGAAGAGCCTGATGCGGATGTGGCTTATGAGCCAGCAGCCTACGTGAATAGGCATGTGAGAAGAGAACCAGCAGCTATAGCAATGACAACACAGGTCACTACAAAGGTGCCCCCATCTTATGATGGAAAGACTTCATGGTTTTCCTATGACGATGCCATAGACGATTGGTGTGATATCACCGAGCTGGAGGATGAGAAGAGAGGACCAGCATTGAGAAACCGACTAGAAGGAGAAGCAGCTGTATACAAGCGAGTATTAGACGGAGATGCATTGAAGGCAAATGATCCACCAGGAGCAGGAGTAGAATACTTCAAACGAGTACTACGTCCATATTTTGTGAAAGGATCTACCAATGTATTCCTGTATAGGTTCATGCAATTCGTGCGCTTCAATCGAGGATCAGCTGACATCATGAAATGGATGACAAGATTCCAGATTTTACTCCAAAGGCTTATGAGCAGTTGGATGGACATGTTAGAGCCAGTCACACAAGCACATCCTCAGGTCCTAGCTCAGATGCAGGCTGATGCAGCGATGACTGGAGTAGCTCCAACGGCAGAAAGAGTACAGGAAATTATGCAGAATGTCAATGGCAATCTGAGAATTCTTCATCAGAACGATTTTCCTTTAGGAGAGAATCTCATTGCCTTACTCATGCTGTCACTCGCAGATTTGTCTCAGGACCAGAGGAACACTTTGACCTCTTTGATGACTCATCGTGGTAGAGTCCTGCAGCAATACACTACAATAGAATTGAGGACAGTCTTCATTGAGATGTTCTGCACAACAAAGACTTCAGTAGACAATCCTCTGATGCAGCCAACGGGTGCTGGAGGTAGAAGATCATTTCTCGTACTAGACGAAGGAGAACTCGATGGTACATTTGGCTATTGAGCCGAAGATGAAGAAGATGGAACAGAAGGATTCCTAGATGCCCTGGA